CAATGATGAGAGAGAATCATTGATGGCTGCCTCCTGCACACCTCCTACTAGGGGTTGAGTCGGAATCAAACCTGGGACCCTTCAGTCCACAGGGTGATGCTCTATCCACTGAGCCAAACCAGGTAGGGCAATATAATACATTTTAAAAGCTTCTCTGAAGGGCTGCACAATACAATGTATTGTTAGTATTTCCATTTCAAAAAGTGGCTCTGTTTGCAAAAGGACTCCCCACTAAGTTTTTAATTCTCCCTCCAATAGCACTGTGAAAATCCAACCATGAAGCCCTGGGCTGTCAACAGCTTAACAGCCCTCCAAGTAAACCAGGTGCACTTATAATCCTGCTATTTTGACTAACTTGTTTGTTGTTTTTCAAGAAAAAAAATCACAGAAGTCCTGGGAACACTTTTGCTGGCTTCACTGTCCCACCTCCTACCGCCATACTACCCTCCCTCCCTCCACCCACTAACCTCTGACCCACTGGCTCCTCCTACCACCTACTCCCTAAGAAGTTTCCAAAGGGCTGTAGGCCAGAGCACCTCTGACCCACTGGCTCCTCCTACCACCTACTCCCTTACTAAGAAGTTTCCAAAGGGCTGTAGGCCAGAGAGGTACAGGCAAGCTGGCTGCCCTTCAGGGGTTCCCATCCTGAATTCTGGGGTTCCCAGGATCACACTCCCACCCCAAGATCTGGTTTAACTCCCCAAACCCGATTGGGGCAACTTGCCAGACTGAGGCCCTGGGAACCATGCGCAGGACAGAAACCGCCTGAACAGGGAGGGGCAGGTGGCCAGGCATGAGTGCTCATTGACTTTAAATTGCAGGCTGCAGCGGGTCCCACGGGAATGGAGCAGAGTTCAGGAAGAGACAATGTCTGTATGGTCAGGGCTCTGGCCACAGAGACTGGGACATGGGGCCTGGTTAACTCCGTGGGCCTGAGTCACTGGGGACGTTACACTAGCCCGGGCCAGTCTCTCCATCCGGGTTGTCTCGATGCAGATTCTCTCTGCCCATGGTGTCTATGTGACCAATGCTTCCTGGAGCACAACTCCCAAGAAGACATATGTAAATGCAGAGACCAATGGGAATGGTGCCCTCTGGGAGTTATGCAAATGGCAGCCTTACACCCTACAACAAGGGAATATAAACTTCAAAAGTATCTTGAAGAGAGTAACTGCTTGATGGGTTTGGTCTCCTTTGAAATGATAAAGATGTTTTATAATTAAATAGAGGTGGTGGTTGCACAACATTGTGAATACACTAAATGCCATTGAATTGTTCACTTTTAAATAGTTAGTTTTACTATATGTAAATTTCATCTCAATTTTTAAAAGTATTTTGAGGCGCTGGAAAGTAAAGTACTAATTGCTTTTAAAGATTCTCCACAACAAGACAGCCATCTGAACAATGTCACCTCTCTCCCCAGCTGCCAGGGGTTGCTGACAATATTCCAACGGGAAGAACTGGGTTACCCTAAAACCCCCACTTCCAGACCTGAGCTGAAGAGGAAGGAAATGTTCAGATACATCCAAGGCTCTGGGCAGCACTTGCCAGAAAGGGGATAGAAAGGTAGTAGCACCCTAGCCGGTTTGGCTCAGTGGATAGAGCGTCTGGTTGGCGACCGCTGTTCCAAAGGTTCCCTTAAACCAGCAGTCGGCCAACCTTTCGGACCTCACGGACCACCGGTTGGTGACGATGGGCTAAAGGGTTCCAGGTTTGATTCTGGTCCATGTGCCTGGGTTGTGGGCTCGATCCCCAGTAGGGGGCGTGCAGGAGGCAGCCAATCAATGATTCTCTCTCATCATTGATGTTTCTACATCTCTCTCCCTCTCCCTTCCTCTCTGAAATCAGTAAAAATATATTAAAAGAAAAAATAAAAGAAAGGTAGTAGCATCAAAGACTGCTGAAGGGCCCACCTAGATGCTGGGAATCCAGATGGTCTGCAATTCTGGGAAAATCCACCACCTTGCTTAATCTAGCCATCCCTTTATTCATTCATTCATTCATTCATTTTTTTCACCCAAAGAACATTCACTGAGCCTCTTCAAGTGCTAGCCTCTGGAAGGTAAGTAGACTACCACCCTCAACAAGCTCATAGTCCAGTGGGAAGATGAAAGTGGAAACAATTATTAACAGATAAGCCGTATGTGTAAGGATGACCTAAGTGCGGGGGTGGGGGGGGGTGACACCTAAGGGATGGAGGTTTGCAGTGGGGGCACTGGGGAAGGCTTCCTGGAGGAAAGGATCCCAGAACTGGGTCTCCAAGGCAACCTTGACCTGCAGTCAGCCTAGGCCCCAGGGGAATGGGGGTGGGGGAGGGGGGGAGAGAAGCACACCAAATGCAGGCTTTATAGGATCTTTGAGGGCTCTGAAGAGACCTAACCAAAAGGCCAGAGGATGGAGATGCCTCCTCCCAGGAGTGACACATTTTTGGGTTTCCCCCCCATCCCCTCTGCTTCGATGCAGGGAAAGGTGTACAAGGTAGTAACAGTTTTTTCATCTCCAGGCAGGTGGAAGGGATCCTACCCTTCATTTCACAGGGATGAACCAAGATCCTTCACCCTGGCTCCTCAGAGGGCCTAACAGGACATTCCCCTTCCAGCTCCAATGGCTCTCCTGGCAGACAAGGCCCCCTCCTTCACAAGAGTGAAGGGTATCAGAGGGGAAGCCATGCAGAGTCCTTTCCCCTCCCTCCTTCTAGGCCTCAGCCAGGCCTCCTTCCAGGTGGTTTTTCACTCTGTACCCTAGTTGCTTATACTCTGGGGAATGCTCCAGGGATAAAGGACTGCCTGTCCTTGTTTCATCACTTTGTGGAAACACAATGAGACAGCAACAAATGTATTTCTTTGGAAAAGAAACAAAATTACTTAGTGTCCATTAACATAGTTCTTCCCATTTGAGAAAGGGTGTTTTATTAACAGAATGAGACAGTGAATGAAAAAAGGTGCTTAACCCACTGCTTCCATGATGGTATTTGTTGCGTGAATGAATGATTCCTAGTAAACTGACCTTATCAAACTGGCTCTGGATGGTCAGTTCGCTTATGAAGATCCACTTTTTAAACATTCCCATTTTTCTTAGTGTTCCAGTTTTCTGAAATATACCCTCCCTGCCCCCCCCCCCATTTATTTCCTGAGAGAGAGAGAGAGGAGAGAGAGAGAGAGAAGAAAAATACCCTAAGTCTATCTCCTGCTCTCAGTCAGTCTGGTGAGAGGAGGGAATGGTCCTCTGATGAATTAATTTCCTGACCTTCTCTCCTGGGCAACAGAAAGACAGAACCATACGGGTAACCCCCCAACTCTCTTCTTCTCACTTCAAGAGGATGTCATCTACCCCCAGCCCTCCAAGCACTTCACATAACTACCCTGACCTGATACCTTGAATGTTCCCAGCAAGTGACAGCAGTTGGGAGGATAGGAGACCAAGGGCAGAGTTCAGGCCTTGCAAGCCCCAGAGGCTAAGGGAGTACTCTGTTCTGCTGGTCTTGAAGGTATCTCCTCATCTGAGTACGCTCCTTTATTTTTTATCCATAAATTTGCTTCCAAGGGTGGCTTCCCATCTGGAAAATGGGAGGGGGGTGGTGTGCAGGGATTGAATTCTGGTCCTTTCCAGTTCTCAGTCTTGATGTGTGCGGATGGACCACGGATCAGCCTTTTTATTATTATTTGTTAATGGGGGTGGGGGTGGGGGTGGGAATGGCAGAGGCCTTACCTCTCCAGCGGGAGACAGCAGTCAGAGCAACCCCGCCTGGAGGCAAGGCCCACCTGTCCGGTTAGGCTCCAGCCTGCCCCCGGGGGCGGAAGCATCTGATGTAAGTTTGGTTCCCTCTTTAATCAGGATCCTCTTGTTTCAGACCGATAAACCTTTAAAGAAATTAAGGTCTAGGAAGTCTCAATCTATCCCCACCCTCAGCAATCACTGTGTCTCCCAGCACCGCTGCCTGGCCAGGCCAGATTTCCTGTGGCCCCACCTGAATGATGAAACAGGGGATGGCCATTGCGCTCCCGGGCTTTCCGAGATACACATCCTTGGTCCTGATGCAACTCTTGGTGTCTTTTACACAAAGCTCCTTGGACGCAGGGGCGCTAGGACCCGACGGACGCCCGGGGGCCCCCCGGCCGCAGCGGGCCCGAGAGTCACTTTTGCACCGCGGACGTCAGTAGGGACCAGGGTGGCTCAGTGCATCCATGTGATTTGGGTCCCAGTTCTCAGCCCCAGGACCAGGCGCTGGAAGCCCCAGCCCATCAACTTTCCTTTAACCCCCTCCCCCAACCCTTTCCTTGGGAGCAGTTGGGAGATGGTGGCGGACACGGTTTGGGGACTAGGCGCATAGGGGGAGGGGGGACACCGACCCCACCCCACCCCCATTAACCCATCCCCTGGGACTGTGGAGTAACTGGCGGGTGGGCAGGTGGGTGCGGGGAAGGGGGAGCTCGGAGCCCGGAGCTGCTCAGTTTGGGGACCCCATCCCCATATCCGATCACTCGCAGGGCAGGGTTAACGTGGGGTACGTGAGGGAGGGCCGGCCACGTTCAAGTCAGCTCCCCGCGCTGCCGTCCCGCGGGCATCCATCCGTGCGCCCAGCGGTACGCTGGGCTCCAAGTTCCCAGACTCGGGCAACCGTTTTCCCGGCCCACCGCCCCTTCCAGCTCCCCTGCCTCTCCCCCCGCGCGGGGCCGGCTCCCCCATCCCCCCGCAACACGACCCCATAATAAACAAGTCTTTCCTTGATCCACCCCTGCCGCGAGCGCCCTCGGGGACCTTGGCAGCTGCAGCGGCCGAGGAGCCTTTCTCGAAAGGGGGCGTGGCCACCGCTCGGGGTTCGGCTGCCGAAAGTGCTGGGGCTCAGCAGGGGCGGGGCCAGGCCGCTGTCACCGGGCAGGAGAGAACGTTGCGAACGTGCGCCCGGCGCCCATTGGCGGAGGCCGGCCACACTCCCGCGTCTGGATTGGGCTGCTGCTGCCACGGGGCGTGGCTTCTCCGAGCCAGTCCTTATAGGCCTCTCCGCGCTGGTGCTGGGGACCACGGCTGGCCGAAGGGTGGTGAGAGTGGTTGGAGCGGACAAGTCTGGGCAGCGCTCGGGGACTGGCACCGGTTCGCGCACTCATTCAAGTGGCTCTCGTCCCAGCAGTTCTCGCTGACCGCGCTTAGCTGGTGAGTGTCCCTTCTCGAGGTGCCGAACCCTGCGCGGGGAGGCCTCCGCCGTGCGGGTCCCTGCCTTCCCCGTCTGGTCCAGCCCCCACACTGACGCCAGGTCCGTGCCCCTCTTGTCTTGCAGCGTCTTCGGCGCTCCCGTACCCTGAGCTCATCTGCCAACGTGGTGGAGTCGGTCCGCACCATGCCTAGCCTTTGGGATCGCTTCTCGTCGTCCTCCCCCTCTTCGTCTGCGTCCTTGTCCCGAACGCCCACCGCCGATCAGCCGCC